GGCATTTAATAAAACACTGCTATACAGAAAAAGAAGCAAGAAGATATGACCCATAAGCTAATAAATTCAGTCAATTGAAACTGACTTAGAACCGACAAATGTCAGTGCTAACAGATAAGGATATTAAAATAATTTAACACTACTTCATAATTTCAGAAATTAAGAAGAACCATGAAATATATATAAAAGACACAAATTGAACTTCTAGAGATGGAAAATACAATGTTTGAGAAGAAAAACTCAAAATATGGGATTAATAGCAGATTTGATATTGAAAAAGGAAAAATAAATAAAATTTATAGACATAGCAATGTACAGCATCTAAAACGAAACTCAATTAAAAAAAAAAAAGGAATTCCAGACAAATAAACAAGTGAATAGCATCTGTGAGTTATGCAACAAGTTCAAAAACCCTAAAATACAAGTCATAGGAGCTGAGGAGCAGGGGGATAGAACAAATATTTGGAGAAATATGGTCAAAAATTTTTCAATTTTGATGAGAACCATAAATTCTCAAAATCAAGAAGATCAATGAAACTCAAGCATAAAGTTTAAAAAAACAGACACCAACTCGATCAAAAACAAATTGTTCAATATTGGTGAGAAGGAGAAAAAACTATCAGCAACAGCTCGAAGATAAAAGGCAAGTTACTCATAAAAGAATGAAGATATTTTAAATTAAATGTGAGGAAACTACCAAAGTAGTTTTCTGCCTGAAGTTTTCTGCAGTTTTCTCCTTGAGCAGTTTTTTTTCTCTCTCTGATACTCTATGCTGAGAATTCTAGCCTTGATCTCTCCTGTTTGTCAGTTTTTTTTTTTTTTTGTTCTATTCAAGCAGTCAGCAGGGCTGTACTTTGGTTTCTTCTCCCAGCACCATAGTTTAGAAGCTCCAAAGTAGTTCAGTTGGGTCTGCCAAAGGGCTCAGCTTGTTCGTTTCTCATCTATTATGGATCACTCTTCTTCATTGTGTAACGTCCAGTGTCTTGAAAATTGTTGTTTCACATACTTTTTCCATTTTTATTTGTTTCAAGTGGGAACATAAATCTGCTTCTGAAATTCCATACTGGTTGGGAATGAAAGTTCTCACTGTAGTTTTAAGCTACAAATATCTTATGCTGAAAGAGATTAGGTATCTTACGTGAATTTGAAGACACAGGTATAGAAACTATTTTAAATGAAACACAGAGAAAAGAAACATTAAAAAATGTTTAAGTATTTTTTACATATCCTTCATGCATGCATGGATTTTCATATGTTTTGACTTGTTTTTAAAATTTTCAGTGTTTTTCTACTTTATTTGCAGTGTTTTTTTTTGTTTATTAGGTAGTATGAATCTTTATTATTGATTTGAATATCAGTGCCCTGAGTCTTTCAAATCACAGATCTTTAGATTTTATTAGACAACAGCCCTGTAAATAGGAATCTTAGGTATGACTGAGATTCCGTTTATCTTTGTCACCTGGCTCTGCAAAGTCTTACCCCTGATCTTCTCTCTTCTATCTTCATGGAGATGATATCCTTGTCCCCAGTTGTCACACAACTTTGTTCATTCAGGTGCATCTTGATATATTCTAACAAATTTTATTGTTTATAGGTAATAGATGATATTTATTAAAAGATGAAGAAGTTGAGTTTCAAAAAAAGAACCCTGGGCAACATATAAAATCTGCATGTCCCCTCCCAGTAGCCTTTAAGTCTTGTGTTATTTCTCTCAAAGAAAAGGAAATATCATCAAACATTTTGTTGCACAAAAGAAATGGATGATGTTGCTGTTCTTTTTCTCACTTTGTATCTTATGCATTTTTATTGCAACATTGAATCTGTCACTGTTTAAAATGATTCCTTAGTAGATATACTATGGGAGAATCATAAACTGAAGATAACTAGTTTTCAGTTTAAAAAAATAATTTAGGTTAATGGTCTATTATTTGAAATTTTGAAACTCCAAAAGCGCTTAAAATTGTCTCTTTTTCACTAATTTGGAGATTGAAACTAACATAGCCTAAAATCATGTGATGTGAGAAACTGACCAGAACTCATCTAAAACTATTTACTGTCTGTGTTTATTACACTTAGTACAACTATTTGTATATTCTGATTTAGAAATATTAATGTTGTTTTGTGATTAAATGCTTCCCTGAATGCCTCTGATGGTACTGCACAACACACACACACACACACACACACACACACACACACACCTGTGTACGTGTGCACACACATACACTCAAACACCATATGGACTTTCTAAAGTCAGAAAATAATTTTGAAATATGCATTGCTTCCAAGATTGGACCTCTAGAATTTCTGCTGTGCATACCCTAAAACATCCATCTATCAACTCAAGTGTATTGTTTTTAGAATTTTTAGTACTGAAATTGGTAGTTAAAAGACAAGTGAAATTTTCGGTAGTTATTTACAAATTGTTTTCCAAAAATGTATCAGTTTACATTCTCTCCAATACTACATTAATTTTAAATCTTTGCCAGTCTTAAAAGTAAAAAATAATCTACTTATTTTTTCGTTATTAAAAAGGTTGACATTTTCATAACCTTATTTAGCATTTATCTTTATTCTTATATGAGTTAACATTATGCTTTTATCCAACTTTCTACTAGGGTTCACGTTTTTTGATTTCATTGTTAATGGTAGAATTTTTGTTTTTGTTTTGAGGTTAGACTCATCAAATTTGAAATTTATATGTCAAATTTATAAATCCTCTATGGATTTATGTTATAAATGTTATTTTTGTCCTACCAGATGATTCAAAACTATTTTCACTCATTATTTTCAGTTTTTCTTGTGATTAATTTTATGAATTTTGTGTAATTCATGTGACGTATATACTGTAAAATACTTTTCAAACTTGTTTATTTTTGCTTTCTTGCCATAAATTTTGTTTTAATTTTGTTCCTTGATTTAATGTGATTGAATTAAATTCCTGTACTGATTCAACGTTTTTCTTTTCTTTTTTTTTTTTCCCATTTATTTATTTTATTGCATTTTAGGTTTTGGGGTACATGTGAAGAACATGCAAAATTGTTGCATAGGAACACACGTGGCAGTGTGATTTGCTGCCTTCCTCCCCATCACCTACATCTGGCATTTCTCCCCTTGCTATCTCTCCCCAGCTTCCCACCCCCCACCGTCCCTCCCCTATTTCCCCCCAACTGACCCCAGTGTGTAGTGCTCCCCTCCCTGTGTCCATGTGTTCTCATTGTTTAACACCCACCTATGAGTGAGAACATGCGGTGTTTGATCTTCTGGTCTTCTGTCAGTTTGCTGAGAATGATGGTTTCCAGGTTCATCCATGTCCCTACAAAGGACACAAACTCATCGTTTTTGATGGCTGCATAATATTCCATGGTGTATATGTGCCACATTTTCCCTATCCAGTCTATCGTCGATGGGCATTTGGGTTGGTTCCAGGTCTTTGCTATTGTAAACAGT